TTTCTGTCTATTTTATGGCATGTAAATTTGACAGCTTTGTCTTAAATATTAATTCTACAACCAGTATTCTGTAACTAGACTCATCGCATTGAACAGAGAAAAAAACATGTTGCTTTGTTCTCCCATGGGGAGGGGTATTTGGCCACATTTGGCTTCCAACCACTAGCGTAGATATTTTCATTCGGAACATAGGGGTGTCGGAACATAGGGATGTCGGAACATAGGAATGTCGAAATATAGGTGTGTAACCTTGAGGGACGGTGGTTTAGGTTTGTGTGGCGAACGACAATCACCCAACGACCGACGCTCACAACTTGGATCCCACCATTAACAACAAGCAATATTATGGTTATATAACTTTTCAGATGTTTTTAATTCAGTATTTTTTTCAATATTCTTCCAAAATTCAACCACTATATTTCTCTAAAAATCAAATAATGCCGGTTGTATGCATTTCCGTATTAAACCTGTAGTCAATTCATGTTCCAGGGCCACTTAGTTTAGCCGTGCATTATCAGCCAATATACCATGGATTGCATATGCAAATTTTGTGTTTGGACCAATCAAATCAATGGATTAACACCATCAATATACTGGTATAATATAATACAGAATAAACCATATTTATATATAAAAGAGGTTATTAGATAATCAAAACTTTAAACTCGTACTCAAATATACTAATCCATAGATGTAGCAAGCCATATACTCTACACACTGTCATGCAGGCATATCACCATGCACATGAATGTTTGGTCGCAGATCAACATTTCAGATAAGACGATTTTTGTGTCGTCCTCATAACCCAAAAAAGTCGGTTTGTCGGGTAGATAACAAGTAGGGTCTTGTACATATTGATTGATAGGAATGTGTGCATTGACCCCTCCCTCTTCCATGAGATGCCACAATTGGGTCACAACTTTTTACTTTTCATATGCAACATTTACAGACGACATGGTTATTATATAGCATCCTTTTTCGGGTAAAACTGTCCAGGTTTACCAATGTACAACTGTCTGTTCCAACGTGCAGATAAAGGCGCGATTTTGCCATATAAATCATTATCGTCTAATCTATCTAATGACATGCTGACATCACCAACTCTTGTTTTTTCTCCGATATTATCGATAATATTAATTTAGTCTAACAAAGTTATACTTCACCTCATTTTTCGGTTTTATTTAATATTATCGTCTAAGCTTGTCTAGGTTAGATATCCCATTCAACAACCGCATCGATGTTCTTATGTTTTTTTAAACTGTTTGTCTAATTTATTTTTGTATACATCACCGTACATATACATCTTTCGTTAAACACTCAATAAAGAGTCAATTCATTTACATTGTATATATGTCACTTGTAAATATTTTTATATGATACTTTCATCTGGTCAATACATTATATTTAAACTAATCATGTAACATGAAATCTTTCATGTAATTTTGCATACACCACCACGTGTTGTTTCAATACATACCGGCCGCTCCAATGGTATTTAAGCATTATGTGTCTGTCACACTTTTTGATGTATTGTTTAAGAAGAGTTTTATATTTAATTTCAAACAATGTCAGTCACTTTCAACTTTGTTTATTATGCATTTTATGTTTTGCTAGTTCTTTAGAATTATTGCTTGAAGCGCGAGTTTACTTTATGCAAATGTGTTTTGAGTATTGCTCATTATGCTTTGTTTGAGATGTAATCCCCCCTTTGTTTCTTGATTTTCTTATCTATTCAAACCAACCTTAGCATTGACAGTTATTTATGCTACTCAGTCTGCCCTGTATTTCAGTTCAACTTGGCACCCTAAGAGGTCAAACATCTTAGTCTTATATGACGTCATAATTCAATGGCCGCTGTGGATTATTGCAAATGTAAGCGATTCTGCAATATATGTATGAATAACTTTCGAAAACTGTCATTGAGATGATAAACAGTAAAAACAGAAAAATATCTAAAATTAAATAAAATTAAATTTAATAAAATGCCACGTCCCTTCTCATCCGGGTATTTTTCCCACGCCCTCTAGTGGTATACGTTAAAGATATCGAAAGAGAAAGCAAGTTGAAAGACCGATAATTGACATGTGTAGAGGGTGTCGCCGATTAGTAACTACACTGTATGTGACAAAATATGAACGGCTGACGTCATATTGAATCTATATTGAATCAGTTTGGGCGAAACATTTGAACAATGTCAGAGGTGGGTAGAAATTTAATTTACTGTCTACTTCCGCATTGAAACCAGCTCAAGCTAGCAGGCACGACAGGTCATGGATTACAGATCTTTTGTTTAATGTGGAGTGGTGGGGTCTAAAAATTATGATGAATTTTTCTTTCAAACATAAAATACATCGTTTGCTGGAGCTATTATACGGGCTACCGCGAGCAAGAATTTTCCATTGTATTTTATATTCAATATCTTTTTCTTTGAGTGACCAGACGTGTTTACTTAGTTCTGTCGCATTTCTGGAGGCCTGATTGCGAAATGAGGCCGTGTGGTTTCTGTATCTTGTTTTGAACTCATTACCAGTAAGTCCGACGTACGTTTCACTGGTGTGCTTGTCTAAACGCGTAACTTCCGCTTGGTATACGACGCCGGACTGCAAACACTTCCCGTCTAGTGGGCATGTTGTTTTTTTCTGGCAATTACACAACTTGTTGGCTTTCGTTTCGTCAGTGGTAGTGTTATTTTTGGTCGCGAGGTGGTGTTTGTTTTTCTTGTTGATGGTATTTTTGATGTTGTTCATACAGCTATAGCTGACTTTGATTGTATATATATATGCTAGACATGTGCTAGATATATGTATATCAGACATTCCAGACAGACATTTGAAGCTAGCATATAAGCTAGCATTATGCACTATAGGAATACAAATCTTCCGATTTGCTATTTTTACGTCTCCATTCATTCAGCAATATCTCAGATTACCTTCATAAGTTGGTACGACGGCCCCTAGGCGGTGAGAGCGTACATTATGAAGATATACAGACACATGTCTAGTATGCAACGCTTAATAGGTTTATTCATAATAATATACAGTAGATCCAATCCACAGCTGATTTAATCACTAAATATAAACGAGTCCAGTATGATGGCCTAAGCAGAGTGGTAAGTTTGGACGGTTCGCTGACAGTCCATTTGACAGCAGCTCCCCTCGTCACACATCGAGTTGATGTCACTGTTGACTAACTCGTCGTTGCTCTAATGATCCTCCCTACTCGAAAACAGTTCTTAACCTCTATAAACATAAACAAGTAAATTGCATAGTTTCTAATTTTAGATATCTACATGTATTCATTTCATCATGACTCGGTCATAGTTCAAACTCATTGTCAGTTCAAGGGTTGTTTAGATTGAGCAGTTAATATCAATTTCCATTCAGAAGTAGTATACAATGAACGATTGACGTCAAGTTCTAAATCGTTTTCTAAATTTTCGGTTTAACAGTACATATTTATGACGTAACACAAACTTGATACCAGTGCACACTTATACGTATACTGAATAATATTGATAGGACTGTCGAATATAACCACCTGCTGCAAGTACTGGCTCTAATACACCTTTATAATTGTGTCTAAAATAGTTGAAATGAGGCTAATTTATACACTGTATGATCTAGATAATTTTCACATTTCTATAATATATTGACTGGAAAGAATCTCTGATCCAAAATGAATCTCATAGCATATTAGTATCGACAACATTTCTCCTTTTGGTGAAAATAATTATGCTTTAAACCAAGAACGAACTGTTTGTTTGTTTGAATATTGTGTTAATATATTCATTCTTGTGATCATTTTTCACGATAAATTATTTACATTGACCAAAATGTCGGATAGTCATGCCGATGTTCGATAGATACATCAGAGTTTGCTGAAAATAACGTTCAATCGTTTAGAGTTCGCCGAGTCCACACAAGTTGCACTGATTTATGGCACTTCATGAGTGTGTTTTTATGAGGCAAGATATTTTTTGGGAACAAGCAAAATGGCTGGAGGCTATACTTATCATGGTACTTGGAAAGAACGCCGAGTATAATACTAGAATTAGTGATGCGTTGCAGTGTGGGTTGCTATGGTGACTCCATTTCACACATGCACCCTTTGAGTGACTGCATTTTCAGTGATCGTTGAATGGTTGAGTTTCGACTAGACATGGAAAGGCATAGGGGACTATAACTAGTGTATCCAACCTTGAAAATGCGGCTTTACCCAGAATCACGTTAAATGTAAAATAACAACTATTTCCACGTAAATTGTATCAAAAATGGTATTCTAAACAACAGTCGTTTGAATATATGAACTGATTTGCTGAGCTTTTCGCATTTTGGAACTCTCTAGTCATATCCTGAATTTTAGTCAGCTTATATATTATGATACTCCAAAAACATGAAATTAGTGCACAATAAACTGCAACGTCAAATGAATAATATTGAAGGGGCTAAATTGTAATCAGTACATATATTATGTCATAGCACAAAAATTGTGCGCAGAATAATAGTCTTCCATTGGCCCTAACCCTAACTTTACATATACCCTCTAGCGCTCCATAATTTAATTAATTGAAGCTTTTGTAAAATCAAGCAGAACAAGCATGCCCGGAATGTCTTTTACAATGAACCCACGCAATACATCATAAACTAAACGCGTATTTTCACCAATATTCCGTCCTTTTAGAAAACCCTTTTGATCACTATGAATAATACTAGGCAACACTTTCCTCATTCTACCTGACAAAACACCCGATGCAATTTTATATTCTGTATTTAACAGTGAGATAGGGCGCCAGTTTTTAAAGAAAGATCTATCTTTATCAGATTTTGGGATACATGTAATTATACCACGGCCCTGTGTTTCCGACAGTGACCCCGAAGTATATGCTTCGTTTAAAGAATTTAAAACAAAATGCCTAATGTCAGACCAAAAAGACTTATAAAACTCGGCACTAAAACCGTTCATCCCCGGACTTTTATTATTTTCCATATTTTTAAGCACCGTTGTACATTCGGTCATTGTCAGTAACCCTCCCACGGTTAAACGTTGGGTATTATGAGTGCTGTCAGGAGATAGAAAACAGTCAAAGAACCGTTCTTCCATATTGGACTGGTACCAGAGTGGTATTGTATTTCTATCGGATGTACTGGATGATAGTGGCAATTTCCTCACCTTTAAAACTTGCTCAGACAAATATAACATATCATCAAATCAAAGTATTTGGGTTTTATTGATGCTATTCCTGGAAATTGGTTTCCTTGAATAGCAGAGATAATGAAAATGAATCTACCCTTACCCATATTAAAAGAGCTTACTCAGAAATCGTGGAGAGAGTATATAGGTTAAACCTAAAAACTCAAACCTGTGTTGAATAGTGGGAGAGATTATTTGGCACAAACCTAAATTTTGAATATTATTTCAAACTACCTTTCAGTATTACTGATGATGTGTCACTCAGAAATTAACAATACAGACTGATTAATAGAATTACCACTACAAACAGGTTTTTAAAAATACGTAATATAGTTGATACTGATAAATGTACTTTTTTGTAACAATTTTCCTGAAACACTGCTTCATTTATAGATATGTACAAAATAAGGATATCAAAGTCTTTCAGATTATATTGGAGTTTATTAGATCAGCTATTGTGAACATATGTTGTTGTTTTTTTGTGTTTTTTTCCATTGCTTTTTCTGTGTGTCTTGTATTTTTTATTATTTGGTGAAATAATAATAAATAAATAAAAAAAAATTCAAATTCCATGAATTATAGTGAGATATTTTTTACGATCATTATATCAAGTCATGTGCATATCTGAACAGTGTGTCTGGTAGTTTATACTGTGTGTTGGTGATGTCAGCCAACTTCAATCGAATCGATGTGTATCCCAACTGACATGCCAGTCATAATTCTTCATGACTGCTACAAACATGCCATTGTAATTAGTTGTCTTATGTTCAGTAGATGTATACTAAAGCTCACATCGCAGTAAAGTTAAAACTAATTCAGAAATTCAGCAATCTATGTTGCATGATGAGTCTGACCCCTTATATTGTAATAGAAGTGACATACATATTGCCCCAGATCCACAGCGTTGTCAGAGTGGTCGTTATGTACATTTCATCGCTGTCTGCCCACTCAGACATGCGTGACCAAACAAACGATTTGTGAATGCCTTTAGACTTTAAGCAAATACCGTCAATCGTGAAATATGCCCAAACCCCTTTTTCATATGTTTAACGAACAACCATACTGTTTATAGCATTTTTGCAGTTCAGTACAAAAACCCAGCTCTATTAGGACGTTGACCCAGCTATATTAGAACATTGACCCAGGCGCAAACTAACCACATTAGCATATACTGTATAGATACAATATGCATCATACATTACCCAGCATTCTATAGTGTTTAACTACATTATACAAAATACATAACCAATACGATTTTTGCATCATGATTATTAAAAATTACTATATATTATTTTTGATACCATTGTCATAGAAATACAATGCCGTGTATGAGGCTGCTAAGGAGAATGATGTTGATGGTGTGAACCGTTTACTCAGTGCAGGACGACCAGTAGATGAACAAGATAAAAGCTGGGTATGTGACGTCATTCTAAATCATGTTCTTTTTAGTTAATTTTGTCATCATGTTTTTGTGAAAAGTTTGATTTAGCTATTTTTATTGAAATTTTGTTTTGTATATCATTTTGTTATGCAAATTTACATTTACATTACAGTTAGATAGGGATTGTCGCTCAAACTTTGTATTTCTAATTAGATTTTTTAAAGGACAATTAGCTGACAGTGACCTCATTAATATGCAACACTGTTACAGATAGGAATATATAACCAATGCTATTTATATATCATATCATATATATTATGATCACATATTGTTGCGACCTCATCATATCTTTAATTTTCGATTTGTTATAAATATTTTTATGTGATTTTAGTAACAGCTCGATTGATTTTATGTATGTCAGAGATCAAGCCAAGCTATATCAAATTTATTCATTTCATGTCGACAATGTCACTTCTCTATTTTTAGTAGATATTTTATAATTTGTTACCATAAAGTACAGTTGCTTTGATAATTTATATAAGTGTACCCTGGATGGACCTTAATTATATTCCTTTTTGTGATATTAGTGGAACACTACCAATTCACTGATGTACTTTTCAACCAGAGTTGATGAATCCACTACTTGGGTATTATTACATTTATCCTATCAATTATAAGATAAACATTAGTGTTGAGACACCTATAATAGATCGTAAACAAAGCCAAGCCCATTTGTTTTTCCACTATGTTTATGTAACTAACTATGCAAGGTACTGTCGGTCGTTTGTTTTCCACCTCTAATAGAGGTTAATGTTAATTTGTGAAATTTTACTTGGTCCACTGCTTTTGGCAATCATATTGGATTGAAATTGAGATTAAACCGGAGGTGGTTATAGGCAATTTGAATTCACGTTAACAGACGTGATGTTTTCGTATATAACATTTATGGCCAACGCTTCTGATGGGAAAATAATAATAATTAAGATCAGTCAAGTTGTTTGGCTTCCATCTTGGCTTTCTGGCAATAATAGCTTCAAATTCATTCGTCCTTAAACATATTAACTGAATATTTTGTGTGTTGCCTGGTCAAACTATCGTAAGTGAAAAATAAATTTAATGTTGATCAAACAAGTCAATTTTCCGCATTTTGAATTTTTGAAAAAAAGGGCAACAAATTGAGTCACTTCTTTCTCAAGAATATTTCATCTCATTGAATTCAATGTTTTGTATGTATTACATGTCTGGTCAACGCTTTTTACGAGAAATACTTTATCAGTTTGTATACATATTTTCAACAAAAAATGGTCACAATTGGGGAATTTGTTTTCTGATGAGTGCTTCAATTGATCAACTTAAAATTTTGCATGTATTATATCTTGGCACTGCTTTACATGAAATGAAATAATATAAATAGTCACGTAATTTCGTCGCTATTTTGTTATTCAGCAAAAATGACCAAAATGTATAGTGTTTGCTTAAATGTAATAACTTCACAATAATTGCATTTAACGATGGCTTGGATGTAAATGCATAACATTCACATAACATTTATCAGGTCATAAAATAATCCACTTCTGTTCAGACCCCACTGATGTCGTATGAGGCTTTAGTTATTAACCCATTTATCATCATATTACAGGGTAATTGGACTGCATTACATTGGGCGGTTCGTTATGGATATTCAGATATATCAGAAGTGTTGATCAAGTCACATGCAAATGTG